AAAAAAAAATCTGAGGCCTTAGCTGTGGCCTTACATACTATGTCAGAACAGACATTCTGAGGTCCTGGCACCAAGTGTCATTTATGTAGCCGTTCAGAGCACTAAAGTGAGAACGCCCTCAGAGGGGACAACCAGAATGAAAACTCCATTGGCCATACCCCTTGGAAATCCTTGGAAATCTGCATGCCTTTGGGCACCTCTATCTGTGAGGACTCAGGTAACAAATGTCCCTGGAAGGGACTAACCAGGGTCTGGAGGGCTCTTCACGATGGCTCCCCTAAACCAACTGACTATCAGAAACCAGAGTCTCTGATAATTCTAAATATAGAAGGAAAACTGGTTGATTTCCTTCTTAACATCAGAGCTGCTTTTTCTTTCCTCCTTTCCACTCCAGGCCAACCATCCAAATGCAGCCTGATTAGAAGCATCTCCAGAAAACTTATAACTAAATTTTTCTCTCAGCCCTTGGGATACATATGGGAAAAACTAATTTTTTTCTCATTCTTTCTTGATAATACCAGAGAGCTTTACTCTCTTGCTAGAAAGGAACATTATAACTAAATTAGAGACTATGATGCTACTAACTCCAGGACAGATAAACAATTATGTGAATTTTTGAAAATTACTGGATATTATAGGCTGTTGATACCAGGGTTCAAGAAAATAGTTTTCCTGCTATATCAATTATTAAAGGAGACTCAATCCTACCTACTCTCCCAGAAAAATAAACTGGGGTCTGACTCCTAGACCAAGTCTCCAGCCCTTGGAATGGTTAGAAACAGAGCAGGGCAATTACTATTACCAAGCTCACAGAACTAAAAGACCATTAAAACACAGCATCAGGCCTTTCATTTAGGGAGGGACAAAACTTATCAAATGGCCCAAAGGATGTTTACTGCAAAAAATTTGTGAAGGATAGTTTTGCAAGTAGTATCAGGCTGTGAAGTATGTCTTAAAAACAATCCTTTCAGCCACACACTTGCTCTCCCTGGCAATCAAGGAACTGGAGATTATCCAGGAAAGACTAACAGGTTTTACTCATATGCCAAGGTCAAAGGAATTCCAACATCTGTTAATAAGGATTGATACTTTTACTGAGTAAAGACCTTCTCCTACAAAACAGAAAAGGCACAAAAAGTAATACAAGTTCTGCCTTATAAAATAATACCCAGGTTTGGCTTACCTAAAAATTTGCAAATTAATAATGGCAAATGGCTGCCTTGACCCTTTTCTCTAGCAGAACTCCTGGCTCTTGGAAAAGTTTTACACCTCAAAATAAAGCAGACTGTCTGCTTATACTCAGCAAAATTCTAATACCTCACAAGCATTAGATGCTTTAATTTTTTTTTAATTAAGTCAGGGCCAAACTCTTGCAAATAGAGTCACCATTGATTACTTCCTACTGTTCCTCCATCACCTGGGTTATGAGAGATTCCCTGACGTATGTTGTTTACAATGTCAGGGTCTCTCCTAGATTATTTGACAGGTTTGGAAACTGTAGACATTATCTTAAGACACCATCTTGTTGGTTAGTATAATCTTTACTTTGTGTTTTTCTCTTTGTGTCTGCTAACGTTCATGCCGTCTCATGCCTGCCAGCCTTCCTGTACAACCACACTGTGGGCCACTGGACCGACTCTTGGGTAGACTCTAACGGCCTACACTGTCCCTCATTAGCTTGAAGAAGCCAGAATGGTCATCGTCCCTGTTCCTTAACAGCACTTACAGGCCCTATTCCAGGGGAAAAATAAATAGGGAAAAGGTTAACATTGGGCAGGGAGAGATAAGAGACCTTCAGGGAGGCAGGATGCAGCTACAGGTGAGGCTAAAGAAACTAATGGGGATCTCCCCTTATAAAATCCTTTATGGCCACCTTCCCTCCATTACCAAGGGCATGGGGGGGGGGGCATCTAAATGGGATAGGCAATCTAACCCTAAGGCAACAGATACCGGCCCTCGGGTCTACCCTAACCACCTTACACCACTGGGTCAGGGAGCGATTACCTGTGAATCTGACCACAGACACTCACCCCTTTAAACCAGGAGATGCAATATGGATTAAAGAGTAGAAATGTCCAACCCCTAAAACCCCTCTGGAGGGGCCCATTCAGTGTCATTTTGCCCACGCCATTGCAGTAAAGGTAGCTGAAGTGGGTCCCTGGGTTCACTACGGCGCAGTGAAACATGCATCTCGAAACTGGGAGTGCATTCCTGATCCATCAGTGCCTTGCAAGCTGACCATACAGAGGAAGCGATCTGCACCTCCAGAGGCTCTGGGAGACGGTGGCCCTGCTTTAGTCACTCCTGAAGCTGACTGATCTATGCATGGCAGAAGCTTGAGGAATCAAAGGTCTGGTGAAACAAAAGACTGTCCTTATTTTCCATATGTTTCCTAATGTGAGGCACTGCTACGCCCTGTTTCTCACTATTACTCTGACTGTTGCTCTCTACCCTTTGCCATAGGATTGGCCTAGGCCACTGGAAATGTGGTGAGAGGTTTGTTAGCACTCACCTTCCTTTTGTGGATAGCATACTTTGTCGGTACCAACATGGGGAAACAATGGCCATAAAAGACTGGAAAATTAGATCCCCACAGACCGTATAGTAAAACAAAATACCCCAGTACTCCTACCAGGGTCTGGCTCCTCAAAAGCTCAATTATTGGGAAAAACTGTCTTGCCTGGTGGGGAAAAAGTTCATCATCATCTCTGTTAAAAACTTAACATGCCAAGGCCACATAACTTATTATTATTATTTTAATGTTTATTTCTGAGAGAGAGAGAGTGCGAGTATGCAAGGGGCAGAGACAGAGGAAGACACATAATTCGAATCAGGCTCCAGGCTCTGAGCTGTCAGCACAGACCCCGATGCGGGGCTCGAACTCACAAACTGTGAGATCATGACCTGGGCTGAAGTCGGACACTTAACCGACTGAGCCACCCAGGTGCCCCAAAATATTTTATAACTCAACTGCCTGGAAAACCCAATGGTGGGGGACTCCGGATCACCTCAAGACGGATCCCTACACGTTGTCTAACTTCTCTCATCTTTGAGAGGCCTGGGACATTGTCAACGCAGCATTTAATGGTGGGTCCCAGGTGGACTATACTAGGTATGTGGAAAGACAACCTATATAGTACTTCCCTCAGTCTGGTCAGGGTCATAGGTGCTGGAAACTATTCATCCATCTTTCTTCCTGTTCACATTTGCCAGAGTGAAACATTTGGGAGTCCAAGTTATGGGGACAGGGAGAGTCAAAACAAAACAAAACAAAAAAAAAAGTGGCGTGCCTTACAAATGGACAATTAAAAAGATGATAAACGACCTCCTACGTGTATAATCCAATATTATGGCTCTGCCGCTTCGGCAGAGGATAGGTCGTGGGGCTACTGCACTCCCGTTTACATGCTAAACCTGCATAATTAGACTACCGCAGTTACAAAAATTATAACCAATAAAACTGCCAGAGGTCTTACTAGCCAAGCAGCAAACTACAATCCGCAATGCCATCTATCGCAATCGCTTGGCCTTAAATTACCTGCTTGCTTCTCAGAGAGAAGTTTGTAAAAACTTTAACCTAAGCAACCGCTGCCTACAAATAATGAAAAAAAAAAAAACACAGAGGAGAAAGAATTCCTCATGTCCCCGTCCAGACCAGGAACAGTTAAAACCCCAGGGAGTTATTTGGAAGATGGTTTTCAACTTTCAGGGTATTCAAAACGCTCATAAAAATTATCCTCCTAATTCTGGGAAGTTGCTTAATCCTACCTTGCTTGGCTCCCCTGGTTGTCTCCAGTCTCATTGAGAACATAATTAAAAAAAAAAAGACGGTCACTCATGTAATGTCTTGGATATAAACCTCTAAACCAAGATGACGCTCTTTGACCCAAAATAGAGGGGTCAGAGCACGCGGGGCGGGGGGGGGGGGGGGATGTGGTAGGGTCCCATCCCTAAGGAAAGAAAAAATAATCTCAAGGCAACCTGGCTATACTGGTTTCCGACAACAACCCTCAGGACCTTATAACATGAGCCCACTTAATTAGACTGCACGTTTATGTTACCATACATGGGAGACAAAGAAGTAAAGAATATATTAAAAACTACACCACGTGGCATTCAAATTTGCTTCCTGGAAAGAAAAGCCTTGGTGTCAGGACAAGAATCAACGCCACACCAAAAAGGGATTAGACCAGGGGAGGAGGGGCGTCAGGGGATCGGCCATCAACGCCGCCCAGCCCTGCTCCTACCCGTGCCGGCCCCACCTCTGCCCCTGTGTTGCTGACGAAATGACACAAGACACACACAAAAGACAGACACAGACACAACTCCAGCCGGAGGAAGAATCCTACGCAAGCCCCTCTTGCGGTTTATTTTATACCCCGGTAACTGGATACAAACTGAAATCTACAAGATGCATTCCGTTACCAATTAAGGGCAAGTAGCCAAACACATTTCAAGGACAGGGGGGAGCAAAGGGAGGAAGCGACCACAACATGTTTACTAAGAGGCCTGCTCACAATTCCAGCCTCCTCCTTACTTCTAAGGAGGGCATGTTCCCTCGTTTGCGAGCGGACCATTAAACTTGGATATTGTGTGCAGGCTTCCTGGCAGAGCACCCTGTTTGCAGGCATGCTTTGCCCAGGCAGGGAGCCCCGTGTGCAGGCACATCCCCGCGTCCCTAACCACGCTTTCTTGTGGTCACTGTCGGGCTCCCACACCCTGCAACCCCAAGCCGGCCCCTCCCGACCCCACCCGGCGTGCTGCTGCCCGTTCTGCCTGCCCCGCCCCGCCCGACACCGCCCCCCACCTCGGGTTCGTCTTGACCCCTCCCTCCCGCCCACCGCAGGCCCCACCCCTGCCGGCCCTCTCCTGTCCCCCCTCCCCCGCCCAACCCCTCTCCCTTCTCCCGCCCGCCCTCGGCCCCGCCCCCTCCTCCTCCCCGCTCCCCAGCCCCCACCCTGCCCTCTCCCCTTCCCCCTCCGGCCCATCTGGCCCCGCCCCGTCCTCCTCCCCTCTCCGGTCCCCCTCCTGCCCCACCCCCGCCGAGTCCCGCCCCTCTCCCTGCTCCCCGCTCTCCTCGCCCCAGCCCCTGCATTCTCCTCCGCGCTCCGGTCGGCCCCCAGCGCCCCCTGGGCCTCCAGTCCCAATCGGGAGGTCCAAGATGGCGCTGCTAGGCCGAGTCTTCCTTGCTCCGGGCCAAGGTCCTCGGAGGGTAAGGCGACGTCGGAGGGGCCGGCGGCCGGGTTCGCCTCCAGCAAGCGCCCCGCCTGAGCGAAGAGCCGGACCCCGGCGTGCGGGGAGCGAGGACAGGGTGTTCCGGGACGCGGGGGAGACGTGGGAGCCGTGGGACCCGGACGGGGGGGGGTTGGAGTTAAGAAGGGACAAAGTCACATTTGCTGTCCGAGAAGGTAACGCTGTGATTCTCACAGTTTTCATGTACCTGAAAGTTTCAAAGTTGTTTGGAAATAGACTGGAAGACGTTGCACAGGTTGGCCCTTAGAGGAGGGAGAGGGACTGGTGCGGTGGGGATGTCCAGAGGGGAGCACTGACCTTAAAAGAGACCTTGATTTATGAGAAGCCTTTCCTGTGTTAGTTGTGCACATCAAACATTAATACAAACATACTCACATACAACTCTTTATGAAAAGGAAAAACACCAAGACTCCACTTCCTAGAGATAGAGCTGGGAGGTTGGCATCCTAGGCTGGCTTCCACTTCTATCTACCCCGTGCTGTGGGAGAGACAGCTTGTTTGCTTGTGAACTTATATGTATGTTCATGGAACTCATAGTGGAAATAAAAAATGCAAGTGAAGGGGCGCCTGGGTGGCTCAGTTAAGTCTGATTTGGGTTCAGGTCATGATGTCAAGGTTCCTGGGGTCCAGCCCTGAATGGGGCTCCACACTGACAGAGGGAGCCTGCTTGGGACTCTCTCTCTCTTTCTCTCTCTCTCTCTCTGCCGTTCCCCCACTTGTGCTTGCTCTCTCAAAATAAATAAACGTGGGGGTAAATGCAAGTGAAGGCAGAGGATAAGAAGGAGAAAGGAAGACGAAAGCAAAGCAGTAGTAGGGTGCCTGGGTGCTTCCCTTGGTTGTGCGGGACTCTTGGTTTTGGCTCCGGTCAGGGTCTCAGATTTGTGAGTCTGAGCCTTGATGAGTTGGAGCCTGCCTCAGGTCTGTGCTGACAGCTGCAGAGCCTGCTTGCGACTCTGTCTCCCTCTCTGTGTCCCTCCCTGCGCACTCTCTCTCTCTCTCAAAATAAATAAATACACATAAAAAAACAAACAAAAATACCAATAGTATCCAAGAGAGCCCCTTCCACAACCAAATTAAAGAATCTTAATAAATTAAACCAAAAAGTTCAGTTTCCTTAGCTAGGTTCAAAAATTATTTTGCCAGCTGTGAAAAAACCTTTTTTAGTCCAATAGAATGGGCAGCCATGGCGGTTTTTTAACTTCTCATTTTAAACAGACAGTAATTTCAAATGTGAACACGAAGAAATGGCATGGTAAGTCTCTCAAGTAAGAGAACTTTTTTTTTAAAAAGTGATACTTGTTCAACACTAAAGTTTTGTTGATACTGTTTTCCTGTAAAGATTTTGGTTATAGATCATTGTGAAAGAAGCTTGTGTTTTTTGGACTCTTCTCAAAGAACTTTCTCTTCCTGCAACTCCGTGAGGGAGAAGAGTCTCCAGAGATTTTTTTTCCCCACAAATCCTTAGCCTGTAGTAATAAGGTCACACAGACTGTACCGCAGCTCTTCTGACACCATTAGACAATGAACTCATTTAAAAAGTAATTGTAATCTGACAATTTTGAAATTCTTCTGCCTTAAGAAAAATAGAAGTTTTGAGGATTGGCGTTCAGGGGCCAAGAGTGGCCCGCTTTGGTTGTGCTTCCTTTTCTTGGCACATGCAGGCTTGGGTTTAAATTCCTCCAAGGAGACCTCACATCTATGAAGTGAGTTGTTCGAGGGAACATCATGTTTTTGTGAGCAAATATTAGTTGTTACAATTAAAACCTAATGTGAGTAATTTTGTTACCAAGAACAAAGAGAAATGTTTCATCTGTGTCCTACTTGTGAAGTGTTAGTCTGAGTAACTAGTAGGCCTTGGTTCAACGCAACAAACCTTTACTGAGTAACTGGCTCTGTGCTGGCCCCAGGGTATGTCAAAGAAAATGACCTTTGCTCTCAAGCTGGTTTCAGTTCTACTCAGGGAAACAGTCACACATTCAGCTGTTTATCAGGAAATGCTATTTAAGTGCCTGTTAAGTATTAGGCATTCTTTAGAGAGAGTTGGTTGAAAAGCTGTACCATCATTAAGTTTCATGTCTATTTTTCAAGCTAAGAGAGAATCCTGACTGGACATTGAATTCAGTTTTGTGGAACAAGATGAGTTTAAGAAAAGTGAATTGGAATAGACTAAGAAATACTAAAAAATACCAGAATTCAACTCATTTAGCAAGGTTAGGTTTACATTGTGAAACTTTTTAAAATTTTACCATTCTTCCTTTTGTAGATTGATTCTTAGATCTCTGAGATGCACCTTGCCATGCTTCCTTTCCTTTTGTTGTGTTAAAAAAAATTTTAATGTATATTTATTTTAGACCGAGAGAGCCAGTGGGGGAGGGAGGGGGAGGGAGGGAGGGAGGGGGAGAGAGAGAGAGAGAGAGAGAATGAATTCCAAGCTGGCTCTGTGCTACCAGCAAGGAACCCAATGTGAGGCTAGAATCCACCAACTGAGAGATCAGTGAGATCATGACCTGAGCCGTAACTGTGAGTCAGATGATTAACCTACTGAGCGACCCAGGTGTCCCCCTTTCCTTTTGTTTTTATCAAGAGTAGTAACTTTAGGATCTTTATGAAAATGGTACCTTACCAATATGAATTCAAGTAGTCTAGTTTTAAAATAAAAGTAACACAAGACCCCAAAGTGGCCACCCAGGCATAACTAGGGTTGACATTGGTGAACATCATTCCAGGTGTCTGTGCCAGTAAAAATGATGGGTACATAGACATAATTTTGCTTGGATATATTACATTTGTTTTCCCCTTAGAACTAAATCAACATTGTTTTCATTGCCTTCTAGCACTAAATGTCAGGGGAAAATGTAAGGTCCGTGGATTTTTTTCCTTTTGTGTTTTGAGTTTTATTTGTTTTTGCCTGTTTTTATTTTTCCTATCTGGAGAGCTTAAGAAATCTTCCTGTACTCAATTTAAAATTCCAGAGTATAAGTTGCTTAAAGGCAAGGATTTATATCTTGTTTACTGCTATATTTCTAGGCTAGTATAGAGTAAGCACACATAAATACTTGTTACAGGAGTGTGTATACTGTGTTGCATATAAAGGGTATTTCTTGTTATGCTTTATATAATATATAAATGTATGAAAAATGATAATTTAGTAAGTCACACAAAACATCAGACTGAAAATGCAGGTGTGCTTTAGAATGTGCATATAAACAAAACAGTGTGTGCCTGGAGGAGGCAGGGAAGGCTTCATGGAGAAGGTGGCTCCCTGGGCTGACTTTTGAAGGAGTTGGAATATATGGGATCTCAAATGTGATCTAGACCTAAGGAATAGCATGTATGAAGAAGTGAGAAGTATCGCCTATTTCTAAACAACCAAACCAAACCAAACAGAAACAAAAACAAAGCTGGTTTAGTATTGTGGAATTTAAAATATGGGGTCAGAGAGAAGTGTATGGAGATGAGACCAGACAGGTTGCTGGGGCCAGAGCATAACAGATTGCTCATTTGCTATGTGCCAGGCACTGTACAGGGAATATGAGGATGAGAAAATGAGCTGATTCCTGCTCTCAGGAAGCTTATAATCTAATGACATTATGCTATAATATGGTAAGTATTGTTATTAGTGTTCTTGATCTCAAGAAGAGGTCAAAATAAAAAGCATCTTTCTTTTCCAGGTTGAAAAACAAGTGTAAAGACAGAGGCCAATGTACCACCTATTACTCTTCAGTGTGGGAGCCAAATGGCCCTGCTAACTGGACTTCCTGAACTAGGCAGACTTGCTGCCTCAGAAGGACAGTAGAATTGCTCTCTAAGGGCAGCTAACTCTCAAGAAGTGGAAGGTTTAAGGACTACTTATGCCCAGATAGTCTCACAATTTACCAGTCAGATAACCTATCTCTTTGGAGACAGGGAGACTAAATGTGTAGCGAGAAGCCGGGAGTTACACTACCTGAGCTCCCCTCCAGAAGGAAACATTAGGATTGGGGAGGAAGCATTTCCCACTCCCAGTGGGAGGAGTGTACAATTTTATGGAAATATATTTTAGGGTACCCATTGAGGCTGAGACCTGAAGGATGCATAGGAGCTGATCAGGGAGAGAAATATGAGTAAGAAGGTTCTAGGTGGGAGAGTGGCTTGTGTGAAGGGCCAGGCTAAAGTGTATAGAAAGTAGGGAGGCAGGTGGTGAGAGGCAGGCTGCTGAGCAGCCAGTGGGCCACAGTAAGGAGTGAGAGCTTTGTCCTGGTGGTATGAGAATGGGGGTGAGAACAGAGGCACATAGTCAAATCCAGGCACTCATGTTTCCTTGGTGGCCTCAGCTAGGGAATGGCCATGGATGCAGAGAAACTCAAAATCAAGTGATATTTGGAGGGAAATTGAGAGGCCTTGGTGACAGGTTGATAGTGGGGGGTGAGAAATGAAGACTGGGCCATGTGGAGGAGGTGATATGGCACTGTCAGGATCGTGAGCAGGGAAGTGATATCATCAGATAAGACTTGAGTTAGGGAGACCAGAAATCCAAACAAAAGGGATAAGGGTCTGTACTAAAGGCAGCATTAGAGCTATTTAGGACTGAAATAAACTAGATTTTGTGGCTTGGATGTGTGGTATGGGATGAAGCCCAAATTTCTGTCTTTGGCCTGGAGCTAAGGGTAATGCCACTGAGAGAGGGCACTTTACCGGGGGAGCTGATTACAGGGATGGAGATGAGAACGTTAATTCTGTCTGGAAATGTTAGGGAAGGCTTGGGAACGCTCAGAACTAGCTTTATGATGAATGTGGAGTGATGTGGGGATCAGTTTTGTGTAGATAGGGAGGTAGGAAATAGTTTATGTTTGGGGAGCCCTGGATATTTTGTTTTTCTTAGTGGAGTTTTCAGGGGGTTAAGGCAGAGGGAGAAGAGGCTGGAGAGATGGACAAGAGCCAGGTCATGAAAACTTGATATGCTGTGTGAAGCTAAGGAAT